ATCTGGTATACAAGCCATCCTAGTTTAGCGGGGGCACTCGATCATCATCGCCGCTGCCTCAGCATAAAAGGGTTCACATCATTGCATATGCCACTGCCTCAGCTTAGAAGTGTGAAAAGAATCATCATTGCAAATACCAAACAAAAGCCATCAAGATAGTTTCAAAATTTGGCCCCAAAGGGCTAAGTCCTTCGGCCATCAAGATAGAGTAGAAGACTAGAGGAGGTGAGAGTAGAGTAGAGTAGAGTAAGAGGAGTAGAGTAAGAGCTGCAGAGGAGGATAGTAGAGAGTAGGAGAGAGGAGGAGGAGTAGAGGAGTAGGCGTGAGATCGAGGAGGAGGAGTAGAGGAGGAGGGAGTAGTAGTAGGCAGTAGTAGTAGTATACAACAAGAGTATAGCAAAGAGTATAGGAGTAGTATAGGAGGACGAGAGTAGCAGACAAGATAGGAATAGATTAAGTAGAGAAATAGGTAGCACCACCACCAAAATAATATCAAATTTGGCAAAATTGCAGCAGAGTGGCCAATTCATCTCAAAATTCTCACAACTTTAGCATGTGATCGGTTTAAAGGCAAGGTGCATCATAGGCAAGTGCCATATGCTCGTAATTTTGTCACAAATTTCTTTGGCATCATAGGCAACAAAAAGAATTGAATTCAAATGCTACGGTTCAGCCAAAAGCATCATAGATCAAGAGTATAGCAGTTCAAAATTCACCAAGTGTAGTTTATCCTGCACAATTTTCAGCCGTCCATTCCAAAAGGAGTTTACTATACCCCTTGTTCACAAAGCAGGTCATCTCAAAATTAAGTATAGGAATAGATTAAGTAGAGAAAGTAGTAGGCGTAGTAATAGTATACTACTAGAAATTGCAGAGAGTGACCAATTCATCTCAAATTTCTCACAAATAGGTTGTTGGAGACAATGTTGTTGAGATTCGATTTGTTGGAGACAACCTCAGTATAAATAGGTCACAAATTCTAGCTAAATATGGAAACAAAGCTCAACCCCTGTTGGAGATAAGCCTATAAAGGGATTGTTAAAAAATGACCTGAGTTTCATGGCTAAATATGGGCGATATTGAAAATTCCTATCCATTTAATTACGTGACTACATATTCAAAGTTGCTTGGCATAATGAGCATATAATTTATAACTAAGCTCGGAAACAGCTCTAAGAGCTCTATGAAACAGACCCTAACCTGAAAACCGCCTTAAACACTAAGTTAATGGAAGAATTAGAAGACTCCTCATCATACCGAAGGAAAAGCAGGTTTTGCATTTTCACACAAGAGATGAGAACAACGTAGTGGAACCTAGAGAAAGCTAGGATAGCCCAAATGTGAATCTCTAATTACATTTCAGATGGGGAAAATATAGCAAGTTACTACAAGAATAAAATTTGAGCTTTGGAGACAAAGATTGTAATTACAGAACCAAGGTACTACGTAGTTCTTACCTCGGCCTAGTTCTTACCTCGGCACCGGGCGCAAAGAGTTCCAAGTGAGGAGGTAGCGGCTAGAGCCCGTCTCAGTGCTCGAGAACGGGCCCGGCGTGTGGACGGTGGAGGGGGGAGGAGGACGGGACGGTGACCGGGAGGAGGACGGGGCCCGGCGTGTGGACGGTGATCGCGGAGGAGCTCGGTGGTGGCAGCGCTAGGTTTCGGGGACGGGCCCAGCCATGGAGGAGCTCGGGCCAAGGCTGGAGCAAGGGTTCCGGGAGAGGAGGACGGGGGGTGGGGCAGGCACGAGGGAGGAGGGGAGGAGGGGGGGGACGCGCTGGTGTGGCCGCTAGGGTTCCGGGGCCAGGGCCCAGCATGGAGGAGTTTTCAAGCGGGGCTGGAGCAAGGGTTCCGGGAGAGGAGGACGGGCCCAGCGGAGGAGCTCGGCGGCGCGACACTTCTCAATGGGCGGGCGCTTAGGGTTCGGTGTGGACGGGCGCCGGAGGAGCACGGGGCGGGCGCGGGCAAGGGAGAGGAGGACGGGGGGCGCGGACGGGCACGGGAGGAGAACGGGCGGGGGTCGGTGCGCGGAGGAGCTCAATCATGTGGAGATGGTGGCGGGCGGCGTGAGATTTTGGCAGCCCTTCGGGTTAAAACTGAACCGCGCGAAAAGACCGAGAATGTTGAGGGTGGGGACGGCTTATATAGGTTATGATTAACCACGGCGGCAACGTAATAGCCCGCCGCCATGGAAATGTTTACCGCATGGCGTGCTTGTTAAGTTGCCCCGCTGGGTAATCTATTACCGCGCAATGGCTCTGTTATATGCCCGCCGAGGTAAAGAAGTTCAGAATTCATTAGCTATTTTAAGTCTCATGAAGATGAAACTAGTCTATACTAACATAATTCATTAGCTAATTCATTAGTCTATACTAACATAATGCATTAGAATTCAAAATCGAATACAAATATAAAAATAAATATAATATCAATGATATCGCTCCATATCCGATATATTTGCATCCCTAACAAGTAATAGGGACATTCGCACCAACACTCAACAACCACCTATCTATAAGCGCTGAGTGATAAAAAGAACCCTTGGCTTTTTATTACATATATGTCTCTGGGATACATATAGAGTCCACTACATTATTACATATATATATATATATATATATATATATATGTCTCTGGGATACATAAATCATTTTGGTGCAGGTGCTTTCACCGTCCTCTTGTTTGGTTTCAAATTTTTGTTGACCAAATCAAACTGAAGCCGTGATAAAATGTGGCCTAAAAATGATATTTGATTTTTGACGGAGCCAAAATATGGCTTGTGCCAAAATCTAGCGTAGCAAAAAAATGTTTAGATGATAACCAAGCTAAATTCTTGATTTTTTCCTTCAAGTAAATATGGTTATGTGGAATCTTGTTTTGTAGATAAATTCTTAATAAATATTATAGTAAAAAGAAATTACAAATTAGACACATGATTAAATAGATATTAGCATTTGAAGTTTGATTATCAACTCAGTACATGCAAAAACAAAATATAGCAATAAGAAAGAGCCTCCATACATACAAGTAGTGCCGGTGGGATGTTGGTCCACACATGCCCGTAAAAAGACGATCCCCAAATGCCGGAAAAAGGCAAATCACTCTCGCACCGCTAAACGGTATTTTTAGAGTGAGATTCTCTCATTGATTGTGTGAAGCGATTCTCTAAAATAAACTAAGAGGCTAAGAGCTAAAAAAAAGTAGCTTCTTCTAGTTCTGTGAAATAAACTAAGAGGCTAAGGCTAAGAGTTTATGCTAAAGAATAAAAAAAATCATTTGTAACCTTATTATCACTCCACCGAAGAACAACGAGGAGCAAGACAACTCTGTGAAACAAAAACATCAAGAACCGTAAGACCCGTGGAGAAGATGAAGTAGGCGGCATATTTATAGAGGCTTTACTGCAGCAAGGCGGTTTAAACAACCCGCCACGGTAAATACTATTAACCGCATGGCCGGGCAATTTATGCCGCCCGCCATGTAAATATAAATTTCTGCGGCGGTCGATTAATGTGGCCCGCCATGGTTAATCTTATTAACCACGGCGGGCCATTCATACCGCCTACCATGGTAAATATAAATTTCCTGCGGCGGGCAAGTAAGGTGGCCCGCCGCGGTAAACCCTTTTCCAGCAGCGGGCGCCTAACCGTGGCGGGCAAAAGTGGTGCCCGCCACGGAGCCCATTTTGGCCACGCTGCGCAAATTGATTCGTGTAGTAGTGCAACAAGGCTTAATAGCATACGTACTCTCTCCCTCTCACTTGTAAGGCCCTTTCCTTCATCTATAAAAGGGAATGCGCTCTCTCCGAACAGGGTAAGTTCATTCAGATTGATCATATCGATCTAGTTCACTAATACACAACAGCAAAACCACCCGGTTCAAACCACGAGCACACGCTCGAACACTTAGCTCATAGCGGAGCTACTGTCGCTCTCGGCCCTTCCGACCGAAGTCCCACCGGACCTCTTGTACCCCCTATCTTTTTTCTTCTCGTTTGTAACCCCACTGTAAACTTCGAGCACCTGGGCTCAGGAATAAAGTCACCGACCGACTCAGACTGGACGTAGGGCACGTTGTCTGAACCAGAATAAACCCTGTGTCATTGAGTGCTAGGCCACATCCGATCACAACGTATGGCAAAACTACAAATATGGACGTGTTGGTCACTTTCTGCACCGACAACTGGGCTCAGGAATAAAGTCACCGACCGACTAAAACTGGATGTAGGGCACGTTGCCTGAACCAGTATAAATCTTGTGTCATCGCGTGCTAGGCCACATCAGATCACAACGCACGATAAAACTACAAATATTTATTTATCGGACACATTTCGCACCGACAGAAACATTGTCAAAAAAATTCCTAAAAATTCAAAAGAATATATTAGAGTTGCTCTTTATGTTCTTTGGAATTTGTAGATCTTCATTTTATGGAGAAGGGGGGAAGGAATCCACGTCGTGGAAAATCGTATGTGCACCAGTACTTTTCAATGTCACAATAAATCAGCATAAGGTTCAGCATAACCCAAATTTCAGCGAAACCAACGGGGCCAATTGACAATGCCCACTACCATATGCGTAAACTTGGCTTGTGGTAGAGCAGACATCGTGTTGAAATCCCACATGGGAAACAAATTCCCAAATGCACTGGCTTTACAAAGAACAAACCGGTGTACAATCAACGCTAAAACACACTCTTCACACCCTGCACGAGCCAAAGATCAGAGCGTCCAAGAGGGGTGCGTGTGCATAGTGGGCGACTCATCACAGTAGCCCAAAGCCACAAGCAAGCACATCGGTGACTGAACTTTCTCCAACAGGCGAAGTGGTCCCTCCGCCCTCGGGCAGCGTCGCGCCGATGAGCATCGGCGCAGTGCTCAGGCAGACAGCGACGGAGAAATCGAAGTCCTATGTCCCGCCGGCACCCATCGACGTTTCATCAGGTGCAGAAATCTTGCTGACACCAGAGGATGCATGTCTTCTGGTCTTCAGGACCATGCAGTCACGCAGGCTCCGGCCGTTCATGTCGCCACAGACACCTTCCTGGACTCCCGGTGCCTGGACTCCGTTCTGGAGGAGTACTGCTGCTGCTGCCTCCGTGCGGCGGCCCGCCTGCGGCGGATGGCGTCGAGCTGCATCTGCTCGCCGCGGCAGTCCTCGCTGCAGAAGGGCGCGTCCCTCTGTACATGAAGATGTCGCAGTCGCGCCCCAGCGGCTTGGCGCAGAGCGCGCATGCGTCCAGCGTGGGCGGCAGGCTGGGAAGCTCGCACACCGGCTCGGCGTCGAAGAAGAAGGCGGAGGCCATGGCTGGCGCGCGTCTAGTAGTTGTTTCTGTGGCTGTTGTTTCTGTGGCTAGGCTAGGACAAGCAAGCTTCGCTTGTCGGCTATTGGCCTGTTGCTGCTGCGGGTGGTCGGAGACTCGGAGGACGAGGTGAGTGAGGTGAGACTTGAGAGGCCGAGGGGCGTTTATATGGCGGACGAGGACGGGCAGGGCAACGGGGGCGCGTGAGAAAACAGGGGTCGGGCGCGGGCGGTACGACGGCCCACGGCTAGGGCAATACCGCCCGCCGTACGGGCGGAGCCACCGAACCTGGGCGGCCGCACGGAACGGAATGGAGTGGTTGGCTTTATTCCAGTAGTGGTTGGCTTCGGCCTGACGAGTAGATGGTCGCATCGTTCGTGGGTGCCCGCGGCGAGAGCGACGTACATGAGGCGACAGGCAAGTCATGCTCGACAGCGACGTGGCTGCGGGCTCTGGTTTCCGAAAGGAACACAGCGGAATGGCAACTTGACGTCCCCGTACTTCACGAAAACCGTGTGCGATGCTACGCTAACAGAAAAGGGAAAATGAACTGGAAAAACTCCACATATTGATCTCCTCGAGTGCAGCGTCCAATAATGCATACCGTTTGTTCTTTAGGCTCATCATGAGATGGAAGCCATTCAAGGGTGCTGCCAGCAAACATTGGCACAATCTCCCCTGAACTGTGTTCATAAGTTGCGGGAGCTTGCCAGGCACTCTTTCTCAAGACAATCTTAGGCCACGTTTAGTTCATCCAAATTTCAGAATTTGGCACTATGCAAAAAAAGAAGATTCCCCATCACATTAAATTCACAGTACATGTATGGAGTACTAAATTTGTGAAATAAAAAACTAATTGCACAGCTTTAGTTGTACTTTTGCGAGAATTTAACGTTTTGAGCCTAATTAGTCAACGATTAGACAATTATTATCAAATAAAAACAAAACGCTACAGATGCGCTCCAATTGCTAAAGAGAATCGGGCGACGCCGATTCCAAGCAGCAACTAAACGCTGCCTTAGACCATAGAAATCAGGGCCATTGAAGCTTGTAAAGCTTCTAGATTGCCAAGGGCTCCAGCCTGAAATTGTGGAAACACGTCCCTGAAAAATAAACCGATAAGAAAAAGGAGTTTTCAACATATGCATTGTTTGTCAGTTGTCACCACCACAGTACCGTGGGCATCCACGTTTGCCTTCCTGCATTTAACACCGATTAGAATACATATGATGTTTTAAGTGTATTTTAGGATGTTTGAAAAGTTTTTATGTGATTGTTCTTTTAAATATTTCTCTATTATGTGTTTTTATTTTTTTCTTATGTTTTACTCTAGATTTTATTATTATTTATTTATGTTATGTATTTATTTATTTAATATTTATATATTTCATCGTTTTTCATCATTATTTTTATTTTTATATATATTATAATACGAATTACATGAACCTAAAACTAGAATATTGTTCTTCTAAATTGAGAACATTTTTCTTACATAGACGGGACATTGTCTTCTGAACCTAGAACATCGTCTCTGCTCAATAAAAAAATGTTCTATGTTCACAAGATAAATGTTCGTTAATAAAATTTTATCTAATTATATCCATGTAGGATCTTGTTTTAAAGGATTTATCGTAAGAAACCTGATGGTGTAATCGGAATTTAATTTGGATGTTTAGATTAACAATTATGATTTTTTTAGTTTGTAAAGCCGTATGACGTCATTGCACGTAAATCAAACGGATGCATGCATGCATTTGGTGGACTGGTGTCTGCTGCCGCCATCCAACCAGTATAGCGTTGGGGAGCGACGGAAATATTAAATTGGGCAAGAACTCAAAGACGAACAGGATGAGGGTCGCAAGCGGGAAGGAGTTTGTTTCAAGGCCAGGAATTTTTTTCATGAAGTCTCACCTCATGTTAGCATTCCTGTGGAATGGAGTCATAGGAAAGTATTCCTATGGAATTTTTCCTTCCATTTTCCTATGAACCAAAGGACTGGATAGGAAACAATCCTTAGGAAGTTGAATCCAACAAAAATCCCATGCCAATCCTCCAATCAAAGGAGGCCTCAAAGTATATAAAGGATACTTGTTACAACACTCTTGTGCTTATAAAGTAATAAAAAAGATGTCTAACTTGATCAAAGATAAGGCCAGTCATCATCAAAGGATGAACAGGTTAAACAACATATTATGAACCACATGATAATCAGCAACTAAAGCCACTGCATTGAATAGATGAATCTTGATGCTGTTGTTAGAAGTCCTGCTTTTGTATTCCTCCACGTTGCATCCACATTTGGGTGACAATGCCAAAGCCGCTGTGCTGCATTAACAAGGGAAACTGTGAAAACAGTGACATAGTTCTAAATAAGACGTCCAGTGAGAAGATCAACAGACTAACAAGCTAAGAAACAATCTGTGATAAAGACTGAGATCCCAAGAGAAATATCAACAAAGCTAAAATTGTGCTGAAGTGCTGCATTGAATAGAAGTGCGGCATCCCAAGAGAAAATGAAGTGCTGCATTGAATAGGTGAATCCAATGTTTCTCTAGTTATCTATTGGTTGTTTCAGATTAGCCCTAGGTCTTAACCAAAATTCTACTGGAGAAATGCAATTCCAAAATATAAAATCCCAAGATTATTAGCCCTAGCTCCTAACCAAAATAGGATTAGTCCTGCTGATCGTAGTATAAATTATTTTACTTTGAGACCTCACAACAAATTCCAAAATACAGAGCTGCAATTAAAATTGGTTTACATGCAGTAACAAGATCAACATATTGCATATTGGTTGAGAAGTGAAAAACTGAAATTTTTCCGGACGGTGAATGGAAATGTCACGAACTGAATTTTCTGCAATGGACAGTTAAGATTCAGTAACAATACAAGATGGATCAGCGTAAACAAATCCAATAATTTCTATATTCAAAGAAAATACTGAAATCCCGAGACAAGCTATAAAAGAGTAAATTAAACAGAGCCTGAAATTGCGCTTCAGATTAGTCCTGACCAAATAAAGTATACTTTTTTTTCTTAAACATATGTCAGCACACTACCCACATGACCAAAATGAGAACCCTAAAATCCATGAAGAGTGAACTATAATTCAGCAACTATATATTAAAACTACATAAAGTCTCTGAAAATCTCAGCTACAGCACACAGTAGGCAAGTTACAGTTCCATTGTCATCAGAGCTACTGAACAACTGACTTGCAGCAACAAGCTTACTAATCCCTCACAACCTACAGAACAGGGACATGAGTGAGCACATGAGCAATGGTATATAGGACGAAGCCAGAAAATAATTTAGGAGAGGCTGAACAAAAGAATAGAGGCTTTTTTGTCTTCTCTTAATCTTAGCCCCTCCTGCTTGATACATATATGTATAAAGGATCGGTAGGGGGCTAGAGCCCCCCAGCCCCACCGCGGGCTCCGTCGCTGACTACAGTATTAAAGATTGTGTGTTTACTCTCGCGTAGCAACTCGACTAAATACTAATTTCAGCGGTACTAATTTCTTGATCTCAGATAGCAGTACCAAATCAGAAACTATTTCTTGTGAGGCAGAAAACGTGATTACCATTAGCAATACAGTATTTAATGAAGTACTGATCCAAATTAATTTCTTGTGAAGCCTGCTCGAGAAAAAAAATAATTTCTTGTGATCTCTGCCACACGAGATCACAGGTAGAGGTATTAATTTCAAGAGATCACAGCTAGCAGTATGAATTTCTCTACCTGATAAATAAGTACGTGATTAGTACTTTATATTATTCTCTCTGAATCGAAAACTAAAACTAGATCACAGGTAACAGCATTAATTTCTTGAGCTCGTGAGGCAGAACGCGATTCAATTGAAAGTAGCAGCCATGCTCAAGAACCACGACCCAGTTCATCCATTCGATTTGATTTTAAGAAGTGAAGACTAAAGACGAGCAGATCTAAGAAGAAACACACAACAAGATAATCAGGATGAGGCGCCCAACCTGCCCCTAGGAGACCACGCACGACACGGTTGGTCGGTGACGTAGCAGGTGTAGACGGAGATGGCGGCGACGACGGCGCGACGAGACCAGAAACGATCTAGGAAGTGCGCCCGGATCCAAGTCAATATGCAGATCACAAGTGATCGCTTTCAATAAGTCCCTCTCAGTAATTTTGCATTCCAAGAATCGTCAATGATGACCGAATAATTTGCTATGCTGATTCTAACAGAAAAGGGAAAATGAACTGGAAAAACTCCACATATTGATCTCCTCGAGTGCAGCGTCCAATAATGCATACCGTTTGTTCTTTAGGCTCATCATGAGATGGAAGCCATTCAAGGGTGCTGCCAGCAAACATTGGCACAATCTCCCCTGAACTGTGTTCATAAGTTGCGGGGAGCTTGCCAGGCACTCTTTCTCAAGACAATCTTAGACTCTAGAAATCAGGGCCATTGAAGCTTGTAAAAGCTTCTAGATTGCCAAGGGCTCCAGCCTGAAATTGTGGAAACACGTCCTGAAAAATAAACCGATAAGAAAAAGGAGTTTTCAACATATGCATTGTTTGTCAGTTGTCACCACCACAGTATCGTGGGCATCCACGTTTGCCTTCCCAAATATAACAGAACATAAACAGTAGGTGGCGATGAGTACGGTGGACGACGGCGGCCATCCCGTACCCGATGACGTGGGCAATAAGACTAGGCAGCGCCCGTATACATTCTCTCTCTCTGACTTGTAAGACCATTCCCTTCAACTATAAAAGGAGATGCGCTCTCTTCTAGGACCAGAGGACTGGAGGACACGACAGCTCAACGGCTCTAAAACTCGACAGCTCAACAGCTCTAGAACTCGACAGCTACAGTCTACACGTTCTCAACAGCTGATAAGATCGGACACATAGAGCATACGTCCAATACTTAGCGCACGTTTGAGCATCCGTCACTCTCTTCCACTCGGTACAGAGTCCGACCGGGCCTCTAACATCCCCTTCTCATTCATTACTCGTCTGTAAC